TCTTTACCCTTCACCACCACCGCGGCCAGGTGCTGCACCTTCGTCGCGGCGCCATCCAACCCCTTCTCGCTTTAGTGTCGTGCTTCCTCCTGTAAGTCCTCTCATTTTTCTATTAATTTTTTCAATCAATCAATCCAATTACTAACTCAATCGATTGAAGATCCAATCGACTGGATCTTCAATCGATTATGTTATTGACTGGATAGATCGACTGATTGGCTGATTGGTTGATTGATTGATTGATTAAAAAAAAAAACTCAGACTATTTATCGATTGATTGATTGATTGATTGATTGATTGATTGATTGGTTGATTGATTGTTTGATTGATTGATTGATTGATTGATTGAGTGAGTGAGTGAGTGAGTGAGTGAGTGAGTGAGTGAGTGAGTGAGTGAGTGAGTCCCCCTTCAGTACTTTCCCATTATTTGTGAAGGAGGAGCACGACACAAAAAGAAAGGACGAGGCCAGGAAAGACGAGCAAGAGGAGGAGGAGGAGGAGGAAGAAGAACAAAAAGCGGAGGAGGACGATGAGGAAAAGGAGATGGAGAAAAGGATGGCAAAGAAAGAAGGATGAAGAGGAGGACGACAAGGAGGATGAAGAAGAAGAACACGAGGAGGAGGACGAAGAAGAAGAGAAGGATGAAGAGGAGGAGGAGTAGGAGGAGGGAGAAGAAGAATACAGGGAGGAAGAGGAGGGGGATGGCGACGACGACGAAGAAGAACAAGAGGAGGTGGCGGTGGAGGAAAAGGAGCAGGAGCGGGCCGTGGCGATGGGCACAAATCAGGACGCCGCGACGATGGAGGAGGAGGAGGAGGAGGACGACGACGATGAAGAGGAGGGGGAGGAGGAGGAGGAGGAGGAGGAGGAGAGCGACGAAGACGAAGAGGAGGAGGAGGAAGAAGAGAGTCAGATGTAGTCACGTCCGCCCACCCTTTCTTTTTTTCAATCAATCAATCAATCAATCAATCAATCAATCAATCAATCAAAATCCGACCCAACGAATAGATTGGGTTGGATCTTGGAAATCCAATTGATTTTCAAGATCTAATCCAATCTATCGACTGGATCAGATTTTGATTGATTGATTGATTGAA